TTGCAAGCACAGGGCTCCGTGTCATACATTCGAAGCACAGCCCAGGCTTTCTCGTCATTGCCACCCATCATTTCACGCAACGTCGGGCCTGTCATCATGTGGAGCATCACATGTATTGGGTATGAACGCCAAAAGCGTACCTTTGGGATGTACGACAGTGAAGTACGTCAGGGATTGGCGGATACTTTACTTGTCATGGCCAAGGATCTCATGGTGTTCTCGGGAATGGTGAAGTACAAATTGCCGCCACGAGTCTATGAGACTCTGGCTCGTGCTGGAGCGGATATCGGGGCATATTAGATGTGATTTGAGATTCTGAGATTTTGAGATACTCTTTTTTTTTGTGCTTAATTGTGTCTCTAATACAATCGAAGAGAATGCAATGGTCAATCTTTTAATGATTTTTATTTTAGTTCTTAGTTTCGAAGACCGAATCTAGTGCAATGTGTAGTTTATGTTCCCCTGGTAATAATATTGCTTTGATATTTCGATATAAACTACATACTTGGGGGGTGTATTTACCTGTGGACCTATGCTCGGGCCTTCATGCTTCCGCCCCACCAAGTTATTCCCGAGGCCCTTCTCCGTCACTTTGCTCTGTGTACTGTGTCTATCTGGGGCTAACTCCCCAGTGAAATGGCCATTTCATCGCCATAGCTGGGAATACGGAGCTACTGTATCCTGCCACGCTTCCCCAGGATGGACCATGCCTCCAACACATCCGTCTTGAGCTTAGAGGCTTCTGGCAGCGAGACGGGATCCCCGCACAATGGAGTCTCTGTGCGGGCGAAAGAGGTTTGGGGAACAGACCCAGCAATCGAACGGGCCTACGATACACGAGATGTGACGGACGAAGACCTGCCCGAAACCACAACCCCCATCAATCTATCCGGTGCCCTTGATAAACAAGCATTACACAGTGACGAGAACGAGTCAACACAGCGCAGTGCGACCATCGGAGACACTCACAACAGCGCATCAACGAGTCAAGATGCCAAGGCTACCCCCAGCCTTTTCAATAATCCACCGAACCTAGCGCGCATACGCAAGGTCCTATTCGAGTGCAAGGACCCGATCGAAATCAGTCTCGAAGAGTTTGAAACATATTGGCCTTTTATCGATAATGTATGGGTCAAACAAAGATCAAATGCAAGCAAAGAGGGCCATTGCACCACCGACTATTACATGTGCCGTTTACGGCGTCCAACACACCGCACATCTGAAACTCGGCCCTTGCCAGAGGGAAAGCGACCTCGCAAAAAGCGAGTCCGAGAGGGAGGCATCTGTAACTTTCAAATCAAGGTTGTGCGGTTCGAAGGCGCATATTCGACCGTCACTATCGCGAGAACGCCGGGAAGTTGCAGCATCCACTCACATGACCTCGACTACATCGACCGAGTGAAGCGGAACTCGGGATTAATGGAGTACGCACGCAAAGAATCTGTGAAGGGATATCTTCCTTCTTCCATCTATACCAAATTTCAAGAAGAACTAGATAAGCTTGGGGAGGCTGGGGGGCGATTCTTCACGGTGACGGACGTGCGCAACATCTCCGCCAAGTGGCGTATACAAAACCCAGAGGTGAATCTGGTTGCACACGAGGGGTACGAATACCAAAAGGGTCATGGTATTGTTAAAACTCAAAGCACCGACGGGGTCAATGAGGTGTCCTCCCAAACAAAACCAACCTTGATCTCGTCAGCTTTACCCCCGGACACCTTACCATTCCCCCAATTTTCGCTAGACTTCTTACATCCTTATCTTCCCAATCACTCGGAACGCCGGGAGTTCCCCCATGTCACATTGTCATACGCATCGTCCATGGACTCCAAGATCTCTCTTCAACCTGGAATGCAGACGGTATTGTCTGGACCGGAGGCCAAATTGATGACCCATTATCTTCGTTCCCGACACGACGCGATTCTTGTTGGAGTAGGGACTGTTCTTGCCGATAATCCAGGTCTGAACTGTCGTCTGGAAGGGGCCGGTGGATTTGGAGGCCTGGGGAGAATGTGGCAACCACGACCAGTGATCATCGATCCTATGGGCCGATGGCCTGTTCATCCCGAATGCCGGATGTTACGTACTGCGGTTGAAGGCAAAGGCAAAGCTCCATGGGTTGTGTTATCTCCAGGGGCTCAAATCAACCCCCAGACACTAGTGATGCTCAAAGGCTACGGTGGGGATTTTCTTCGCATTGTAGAATACAATCAACACTGGCGATTACGCTGGGAAGCCGTCTTTCGTGCCTTGGCATCGGAGGGTATTAAAAGTGTCATGATTGAGGGTGGTGGTACGGTCCTGAGTGAATTGTTGAATCCAGAGTATACAAGTTTCATTGACTCGATTATTGTGACCGTTGCTCCCACCTACCTTGGACGTGGTGGAGTAAATGTCAGCCCTGACTCGAAACAAGATCAGGAGGGTATACCCAATGCTGCACTGAATCCTCGAGATGTTAAATGGATGCCATTGGGACAAAATGTGATTATGTGTGGAAAGATTCGTGAAGAAACAAATCATTGACGGGTTTATTGTCTGTCATTTCTATAGATCATTCTTATTCAATTTAAAAATTAAATAAAATTAACAATAGAAAGAACCCATTCACACGTAATAAATGCTAATAAATGCTAATAAACGCGTCACATATGAATGAGAAATGAATTATATATGAAATCAGCCCATTGAACCCTGGAGAGGTGGCTGGGGGAGAATGTGCTATTGTTTTGGCTTATGTTTTGGCTTGGCGTCCTCTTTTTTTTTTACCCTTTTACATACCTTTTCCCTTTTATTCTTTCAATCTCAGCTTCAAACATTCCCCAACCCCCCTGTGTTCTTTTCTCATTCTTTGCTATTTTTAATAGCCCATTCTAAGGCAAAATGCCTCCTAAGAAGAACACATCCAAGTCTGTCGAAGCTTCGACAGAGGCGAAGAGGAGTACTCGAGTACGCAGCGCCAGACAAACTACCGTGACGAAGACCGAAAAGCCAGTGAAAGAATCTCTGAAGCTAGCAAAGTCCGTTGCAAAGACAGATGCAAAGCCAGTCACGAAGACTACCAAAAAGTCCACCAAGAAGGTCACCAAGGAGCCTACTGCAACATCGACCAAGTCAACTGAGAAGCCAGCTAAAATGGGAACATCTACCAAATCAACCTCTGCTACGAAGAAACGGAAAGCCGACGAGGATGAAGAGAAGCCTCGCGAAATCAAGAGATCTCGTGTCGCGCAACCCCGTCAGCCAAAACTGAAAGCCAAGGTTGTCATCAACGCGGCCCCGAAGACCAAGCTGAATGTATTTGTCTGCGGTGAGGGTAGCTCTGGTGAGCTGGGTTTGGGCACAGCCAAGAATGTTATCGATGTGAAACGCCCACGTTTGAACAAGCTTCTGTCTGCCGAAGAGGTCGGAGTTGTACAGGTTGCTGTCGGTGGCATGCACTGTCTAGCTCTAACCCATGACAACAAGATCTTCTCCTGGGGTGTGAACGACCAGGGCGCGCTCGGAAGAGAAACCGAATGGGACGGCGGATACAAGGACATTGAAAACGACAGCGATTCCGATTCCGACGATGAAGATAGCGGGTTGAACCCCCGGGAGTCTATTCCTACTGCTATTCCTGCCACCGCTTTCCCCGAAGGCACTGTCTTCGTTGAAGTCGCCGCCGCTGATAGCGCAAGCTTTGCCCTGACCGATGATGGTCTGGTCTATGGCTGGGGCACCTTCCGAGTAAGTTGGACTGACTGCCTTGGATCGCATTTATTTAACTAACGACGATTCTAGAGCAACGATGGAATCCTCGGATTCGACGCGTCTTCTCACGTTCAAACTACTCCAACTTTGATCTCGTCTCTGAAGAAAATCACACACTTGACTTGCGGAGCCAATCATGTTCTTGCTCTGAACGACCAAGGTCGCGTCTACTCGTGGGGCTCGGGCCAACAGAATCAGCTCGGTCGCCGGATTGTGGAGCGCAACAGGTTGAATGGTCTTCAGCCTCGGGAGTTCGGTCTCCCTAAGAACATTGTCCACATCGGCAGTGGCTCGTACCATTCGTTTGCCGTTCAAACCACTGGCAATGTCTACGCTTGGGGATTGAATAGCTTCGGTGCAACGGCCCTCCGCGAGGGTGCCGGTGATGACGAGGCCGCTATTGTGCATCCCACCCTTGTCGAGTCACTTTCTAACAGGAATATTTCTCAAATCTGTGGCGGTTCCCATCACTCGGTTGCCATTGCTGGCGATGGTGAATGCTTGGTTTGGGGCCGTCTCGATGGTTTCCAAAGCGGCTTGAAGATCGATACACTTTCCGATGACGCCGTTATCAAGGATGAGCGCGATCGCCCCCGTATCCTAATTGCACCTACTCCCGTTCCTGACATCAAGGCCAAGGTTGTGGCCGCTGCCTCGGATCATTCTCTTGCTATCGATGCCGATGGCCGTGCATGGTCATGGGGTTTCTCCGCTACATACCAAACTGGACAAGGTACCCAGGATGACATCGAGGTGGCTACTGTTATCGACAACACTGCTACTCGTGGAAAGAAGTTGAACTGGGCGGGTGCTGGTGGTCAGTTCTCTGTGTTTACAGAGCCTGCCAGCGTGTGAGGTCAATATATTCAACTGACCTATGCTTTATTGTAACATCAAATCTCTCTTTTCTTTTTCTCTGCCTTCTATGTGTTGTCTCGTTTCCAGAGCAGCACACAGAAGAGTTGTTTCGCAATCTCCAGTTATTCTGCTCAGTTAGCATGTTATTTGAAATTAATCCCTTTTCTCCAATATGATTCATTGTCTGGTTCATGGTCATACTAGTTTTAGACTCATTCGGTGTCTGATTGTTCGATCCTTAGCTGAGCCATACCGGCCCTGTGGCCTATATATTTGACTAAACAGGATACATACGTATGGTCTGGCAGGGATTAGCGGGCTTGTCCCGGTTTGAACATGTTCCATCGCTGTCATTAAAATCTACGGTATAAGATAAGATGCCTTCACAGCTACATCCCAAGCTCCTTCATCGCTTCATACTCAGCATCATAGTCGTCGTTATCGTCATCGGGTATCCTTGAAGATGAGGCATGCATGTCCGGGGGGAAATCAGTCATTGACTCATCCTGTTGTCGGAGAAGATCATCCAAATCATCGTCCTCGGGCTCGGGGAAGCTGATTGTAGGCCGTGCACTCTCGTTTGGGTCTGGAATGAACAGGTCTTGGTCGGCAGCGCCTTCCTGGGCCTGGGTAATCGCGGCTGGGTTATGATCGGAATCTGCAGGGTTCTTGAGGTCGCGATTTTTGAGCTCTTCTCGCGTAGTTTCAGAGCTATCGAAAATTCTCGGTTTCTCCTCGTCTATCCATTCTCGTCGCATGGCCTGAATTCGTTTTGAGTGTCCCAGTTTCTCAATCATTGTCAGACCGTCTGCGAATTTTGCGCGTGGAAATAGATCATCGAGCCACAGCTGATAAAAGTTGAGCAAGCGTGCGGCGTCCTTGAACTATAGCAAACCTAAGTCAGTTACACTAGCTATGCTGTAGGTATGTTGGACAGGCAACAGAACAAACCTCATGTCCTTTCCCCTTGAATTTCAGCTTCTGTCTGGCAGTATGCCGCAGTTTGGGTATGCCCGGTTGTGAGAGTAACCTAGCCTATTCATCAGCATTGTTATAGCCCCAGACATTCTCCCAAAACGAAAGAAGGGATTTCAATCAAGAAACAAGGTAGCACGTAAGACTCACCGGCCCTCATCTAGTTTGGCCACAGGTTGTCGTTTCTTTGCGACTTTGACTTCATCAAGACCCAAACCAAGTGCAGAATCTCCTATCCCAGGGGCCTTGGTGTTATTGGTATTTGAAGCATTGTTATCTGGAATAATCTCATCCAAGCCGATGTCATAATCAAAAAGATCATTCAAATCACCCGCTGTCGGTGAGCTTCCTCGTTCTAAAACGTTCGCGTTCGCCATAGTTCCAATCGCGCACAAATATTGTTGGTAGGTGCAATTATATCGAGGGATGGATTTGAGAGGATCAGATAACTAGAGGGTTGACAAAAAAGAAAGAGAAAAAAAAAATTTTCGCACCTAGACTGGAGCAATTCAAGTATCGTGCATGAGAGATACTCCAGGTCTTGGGATCCCATGTCAATCAATCAGATGCGGCCTTGACGCGTGACGCGAGTGGCCTGTTATCTGCGCTCTGATTGGCTGTCGGGCTTCTTGTCCGCCTTAATTTGGCTAGGCCCAATAAGGTTAGCCCCGTCCTCCTCTCCCTCCAACTCCCAGAACTTCAACCTCGAATGCTTGCACATCCACACTTCAAAGCAACATGGCGACCGATACCAAAACAGCCATTGTGCCCTCTAAGCGGGCTAACACTGATTACCCGGTATGATTGATCTAATATGAACCGGGGCTGATACTTTTCTGTCCCGGATTGCTCGTTCCGCGTACGTCTTTTGCTAACATATCCCACAGTTGATCGATTCCGACCCGTACGCTTTACCCCGGATTCTAAGATTTTGTCACAAGCTCACATCTTTTTCAGGCATTTGAAACGGGTGTTCGGATATGCCCGGCCTTCCGACTGGGCCGTGGCTGGCGGTATGGCCTCAGCTGCTCCCATCTCGTTCTGGATCATGGAGAGAGCAAGCCCGTCGCATGTAGGCCGCGGTGGCTTCGCTCCCGTTATGCGACTTGCTACAGCTGTTGGTCTGCTTGGCGGTCTTCATGTCTTCTATCAACGATCCTGCCGTAAGCCATATCCCTCCCACCTGCACCCTCTCCCGCTTTGGGGGGAATGACGTCTCAACTCACACCTTCACAGAGCGCTTTTACGGCTTCACTGAGAATGCTAGAGAGGTCGAAATGGATACTCGTGAGATGGTCGACAAAGTCAAGAAGGGCGAGCCTCTGTACGGTAAATCCCAAATGTCGTCTTATCTACAAGGCATGGCAGCCCGCAACTCGCGGTACTCAGAACTTTTCATCCATGTCGTCCCATGGTTCAACTTTGTCAACCATGATCAAGTAAGTCTTTTAATTAAATCAATTTGAGGGAGGGGGGTGATGTTAATTGTTTTTGCATCAGCATGGCGTGGACACTGCCAAATACTACCAGCAGGCCGAGCGGGAATTGGAGGCAGAGCGCACTGGCTCTTCATGAACATACACCATCAGCTAGAAAGAAAAAAAGAATGATGGACAGCCTTTCCGTTCAGTGATGCAGATTTGTACACATATCCGATTTTGTGTGTGTTTTTGGGGGGCGCAATTGATATTCACAATACAGATTCCCGTTCTGGTCAACCTTGACGCTTTTTATATCTATATGGAGATGCCATTTGGAATTAATGATTCCCCATTTGTATCAAAAGCAGATGCAATCTAGAGCCCTGAAGGTATCACGTAGTAAAATGATGTTTGGAGATGTCCCGAATCCGAATCTTGCGGCCTACCAGGTTGGTGGCACTTCTTCATTGCCGTCTTCGAATCTGGTGTTCAACTCTCGATTCTTCTTCGGTCTAGGGTTAGGAGCTGGCATGTAATCAGCAGGTAGTCGAGATTGAGGTTTGTGCGTCCCAGCTCCTTACCTTTTTCGTTCTCTTGTATATAGAAACGACGGAGCAACATGATTGCTTCTTTCTCGAACAGCCCACCGTAGACAGGGTATGATGGGTCAATTGAGGAGCTGTACCGGATTAGCCTTACACGACCAAGAGTGTTCCTTGGGGTGCACTGACTCGGAGTGTAATGAAAGAACACCTCCGGTGCCTCCAAATCGATCATTGGCGCACCCGAAGTACACACTACGGATGCGGTACTGCTTCAGCGCAGAAGCACACATCACGCAGGGTTCAACCGTGACGTAAAGATCGGTAGATTGCAGTGCTGGCCGAGGGTAGCTTTGGAGCATCTCTGCAATCGCTATAAACTCAGCATGTCTCGTTCCCTAGAGAACGTTAGCGGTTTCTACGCACTGAGACCTTGAGCACCGACATTCATAGATCTGTTTGTGTCGTTCATGCCAGACCCCACAATTTGATCGTTGTGCACTAGAACACAACCGACGGGGGTTTCGCCTGACTGAAGAGCCTTTTCGCCCTGAGTATTTGAATGAGCTTGTTTCGACCCCGGGGCTTCAAGGAGTTTCATACCATCAACAAGGCTTGTTTCATGAAGTGCCCATGTCTCGAATCCTCTGCCACAACGGAGTCACCCTTGAACTCCATAGCTAATTCGAAATTTCTCTTCTTTGTATATGTTAGACCAGTACGAGTTGACTCCAGTAACTGGCGATATATCTCATGGTTATGAGGAAGTGAAGGAGTCAGAGGGTAAAGAGCAGTGGCACCCGAGATTTCAAGGTAAGGTTGACCAAGTCTGGGCCACAGGTCCAAGGTCCATGATACAATGGAGATTCACTTGAGTCTGTTAGGTTACATATGTAATATAAGTATCTATATGGATGTTGAAGTCTCCTAATTTAGTTTTCTTTTTTTTTCCTTTTTTTTTCTTTTTTTCCTATTTGTTACATCTATGAATATGATAATGTTCTGTAGCCAGTTCTGAATTCAAGTCACCGTATATGCTAGAAGACCCATTTAACCAACCTCATAATAGATATAAGGCCAATTCCTATATATGGAGAAAACTACAACCCGGAATTCAGTGATCATAAGCTCTGAGATTATTGCAGAATATGTGCAGATGATGGTGGATACTTTATGCCTCAGGTGTCAATCGACATATCAACTCCGCGTATCTGCGCACTGCAAACACCCACACAAACACAACCCAGCCTCGGAAACTTGGTTAAACACGAGGAACTGAAATTTCAAACCTGGTGCTATGAACATGTGTGTCCCATATGGCAACCGAGGGAGAGAATGAACGGGCCACCGCGCCTGGGAACGCCTGGAGAGCTGAACCGGCCTCGTCGATCCTTGCTTCGCGTTTCGTACCGCATCTTGCAACCCAGGGAAATGAATCACACCTAACTCGGGAAACGTTTGCACAGCTTCGCCAGGAACTCCTTAGTGAAATACAAAGTCAACTACGCGTTGACGAAGACGTCACTGATGTCAACAAACTCATATGCATTGTCTTAAAGGCCGGCCTAGAGATTAGCCCAAACGGCAGCACACCAGAGCAAGATCTGGAAGGGCAAGTCCTAGACTGCTTAGACATCATTCAGGCCAGCATTGAAAAGGCCCCACAAGCTTTGTGGGAAGCCTCTGACCCTCTCATCCTGGGCGAGGACATACATGCTCCTCTATTCGCATGGCTAATCCTACGATTGATCCGACTCGCCACCACCTGGACATCTGAAACCATTCGAGAAAAGATCCAACTTCTTTGCACGAGCCTAGCTTACTCTCAGTTCAAGCAAGCCCGTTCATTGCCTGCAAGCTATGCGGTTGCTGCATTTCTGCGTGCTTGCACGTCAGGTCCGTTTTTGGCCCCCGATGATGTAGAACCCTGGGCTAAATTAACATTCGCTAGATATTTTGTGCTCTCTTGAAACATTCCAACGTAGCAATTCCTGGGATACACGCCTTAGAGGGTTGTCGATACCTGCCGCAAATGGATCGCTTATCGAGGACACCCAAAACCTAGGTCTCTCCCCTGGATTATTCAAGAGCAACACCGCCCTCGCAGGCTTTGCGCAGACTGTCTCCTTAGCCTGTCGATTGCTTGATTCGTTCAATCCGAAGGGCGAAATGCAATCCCGCGCAAAACATCATGATTTCATCCTCCGCCAAAACTTCTCGTGGGTATTGAATGGTTTCCATCGCCTTAGACGGGTCATTATCGAGTGGCTGCAAATAAAAGGAGCACAACTCACCTCGGAAGATGCAACCGTGGCCCTGCAATATCTGACATATTTGCAACGATGCTGCGTACTAGAATCGACTTTGGCGGGACTGCTCTCGAACATGAGCCTAACTTCTACTTGGTCGCAATGCCTGTGTGGCTTTTTGAGCCTCGAGAATATAGGGAAGTTGCCTTCTGTTCAGGTCATTCTAAGTCGCTTCTTGTGTGATTTGACAGAAACCGCCAAATTCTCTCAGCCTCTGGTACAGGAATTAAGGGAAACTCTGCTTCCAGTGTTGACAGAAGTCAAAGACAGCAATTCCCGCTTCCAGTCCCTTGAGTCGTGTCTCTGGGTAAGCTTTCCCTCGTATCCAGCACAGGTGAGTTACCGAGCTAATACCAGATCAGAGTCCTATTCAGACCTTGCATGCCCTGCTTCTAGATACAGCACTGCCGTTGGGAGTGTGCCCACCCAAAGGCTTACCTGGGGATATTTACGAGGAGTCAGACACAGCATTTCAGAGATCCGGGGTTTTACACCAAGCGGAGCCGAATGAATATGCTCGGGCATCGAAGCGGCTGTGTCTTCCAGGTTTACCAACAGGTTCTACCAATGATGGCCTGTTTCATTTGCTCGTGGGTAATATATCAACGATTCTTCAATCTGACTGTGGCAAAACGATGGCAGATCTGTGCACCTCCATCCAGTGAGTGGACAACGGATACCTCTTAAGGCGTGAAATGCTGATTTATCCGTGTAAAGAACATCCTACGGGGAACTGTCCGAATCTAAAAAAACCGAGTTATTGGACATACTAGGCAAAATTTGCTGTGCAACGGCAGAGAAGCTTTTGAGAAAGCCCTCGGATGTCATAAAACGAGAGACACTCTTTTGTCAAACATGCGATACAGATCGGTATCAGAATGATCGTGCAGGAAACGAGGAGCATCCCGGATTTGAGGAGATATGGTCACTATTCAATTTCATCCTACCCAGGCTTACACGTACGCCTGGTCCTCGGATATCTGCAATGGTCGCACTCAGAAGAATTTTGATGCATGCTCCAAACTCCAATCAAATGCATATTCCAAACTCTGCCTCCGGAGAGTTCTGTCTTCACTCGCTCCGGAGCTCAATTAGAGAATTGCGT